GTCTACTGTGGTCTATGAAGTATGTAATAATAGCATGCAGTCTACTGTGGTCTATGAAATATGTAATAATAGCAGGTGGTCTATGAAGCATCCAAAAAGCATCAAATATTGAGAGAACGATGACCATGAGACAGACATGAAGTGAGCATGGACTAGTGGGAAGATGGTGCAGATACCTGCTTGATGCAAGGTTGCCACTAGCCTTCCATTTGTAAAACCAGCGGTATCTGTGAAGCACAGTAAAACGCAGTCTTCCTGCACGTGAGAAGGGTCTTTCAAGCCCTCCATCCTGACCAACATTGTTGAGAACTTCTAGAAACACCCCTGGAGAGCCCTGTGTTTCTTGTCACCAGAAACCCTGTCCTGCCAAGGCAAGGTACACTCACAAGTCTACAAAAAGTCAAAGTTACTTACAGTCTCATAGTCATACCAGACAGCATCGGGCATGTAGGCCTGTATTTTCCCTGCACCCTGAAAGTAAAAAAGAATGTTTTTCTTGTGTCTCTGAGTGGGGAATGGAGCCTATGAAAGGGATGAAGGGATTTCCTGACATCCCTGGGAGAACTTCCAGAAGTGCCCTTTCTTTTCTCTGATCCCCAGCAGAAGTGCCTTTCCTCAGTGAATCTGAGATACAATAAGTTAGCAACCCACAGAAAACCCAGTGGGACACCTCAGGAATGTTACCATAAGAACTAACAAGGGTTACCTCATCTACCCTGCCAGCAGCCCTGAACCAGAGGTACTACAATCCCTGCCTTTACACAGGAGGGGCTGGCACATCACTAGCCCCCATCACGCACAGATGCTAAGTGGCAGCGGTGACAAGCACACCGAAGACAGTCTGACTTTGGATCAGAGGGTACCACTGCTTCTTGGTCCTCTGTGTCATGAGGTGAGAAAGGATCGGCCATCAGCATCAAGGTGCTGCAACCACACTGGCTGGGAACTTGGTCAAAAGAAAAAGTCTTGTTCAGAAGGAAGTGTGTATGCACTGTGCGATCTGGGTCCCAAAATCACCCAACACCACGCCCAAGGCCAGTGAGGCCACGTGGTTGGATGTGGGTTGGGAGCATGGATGAAAGCAGTGTTCGGAGAGGCTGGGGGAACACTTGCCTGATCCAACACAGGAGTGATGAGGAGGCCGGGTCCCCACAGAAACTGCCGGTGCACACCCCATGTGTTGCTGTCTTGGTAGAACCTAAAGACCAGAGACACCATTCCTGAGGGGTGGACCAGTGCCCCTGTCTATACACAGAATGCCTGCTGGCCCAACCCCTTGAGTTCATCTGTGATTCCCCTCCCATTCAAACCACCTCCCTGCTCTGTGGCAGATCTACACTATTCAGGTTCCCCTGAGTCCTCCCTAGGACAAATGTTCCCATTCTGACACTCATACCAAGAAATCCCAGACTACAATTCAATATGACTTGTTACCCTTTGAAAAAACAAAACAAGCAATTTTTTTTTTTTTTTTTTTTAACGTCTGTTGACTTATAAGTGGGATTTGAGTCTGATCATGAAAATCAGCAGATAACTTAAGTTTTTCCTTTTCATCCTCTAGGGTATCTGACATTTAACAAAAAATGCCAAGACATGGTAAACTCTTAATCAAACAAATGGAAGTGTAATAGTGGAAATACAAGCTGAGGACCTTGTGCATCAGACACGTGAGTTGACTGTATTTGGACAAGAAAAACCATTGAGGCACCGATTTGTAGAGTGAATTAGAGATGCCCATTGGCTGGCAACAAACATTTTAAAGTCCATTTAGAATACAACAAAGCTTCAAAAACCACATGGAAAAATTTTGAAGTCCCCTCCGATTCTAATTTATGTGCAAATGGCCTGCCCATTCCTAAAAACTGAAATTCAGCCTGAAATTGTAATGCCTCACAGCAGAAAGAGAACTTTGCCATTGGGCTATCAAACTGTTCAACTATAAAGGAACAAAGAACTTAGACAATGTGCCTACCTTACAGAGAGAGCTGGAGAGGAACAAAGAAAACATCTTGAGTCCAGTGCTCTTCCCAAAAGGGAGCAGGTCATAAAAGGTTACGCAGTACCTGGACAGCAATGTCCCTACAAATACCAACTGGAAGTTTCATTTCTTTTCTCTGATCCCCAACAAAAGTGCCTGTTTGGGAGTTCCTGAATGGCTCAAACAACTTCTCACTGGAAAGGTTTAAGAAAGACCTGCCGGCCTAGTTTTAACACATGAGCCATTGAATAGCCTTTGGAGGACACAGTTCTACTCTGACACACATGGAGGTGCCAGGAGTTGGAGTCAACCCGAGGGCAACCAGTTATTATTACTCCAGCTTGGGAAACGAATTGTAATAATGGATTGAATTGTCATGGGCAATGGCTCTGGTAGCATCAACAAGACCCCATTGTTAGAGGGACTCACTCATGCAGCAGGGGCCGGGCCACTGTGTCCCCACGGGAGTGTGCTCGGTAGAAGAGCGTGTAGAGGTAGGGCAGCAGGGTGTACCGGATGTTCAGGTAGTGCCTGGAGGAGTTGACCAGCAGGGAGTCAGCTCCAAAGGAGGCCGGGTCCTGAGCCTGGGAAAACAAAGTGGGGTGCAATTGTATTTGGCTGTGGGATCACAGAAGTGTCTGGAGAATTTCAGACCTCAGTCATGGCCACCAACGGTTTCCTCCCTAAGTGACCTGGAGCCTCCACTCTAGACCAGGCTCTGAGCAGCACCTGTGGGCAACCAGTGGGCAACCAATGGGCAACAGAAAGACCCTTCACAGAGCTCTCCTTCTGCTCCATCCCCAGTTCTCTGGCATTGTTCTCAGGAAATTGCTATTTCAACCACTTGGGAGTCTGTAATTTTCATTACAAAATGAACACCACCATAGATGAAGGGCACAGAGGTTTGAGACATGCCAACAGCAGAAATAATGGGGATCTTTGAGGGGTATAGATGGTGGATGCTCAATGAAAGATTGGAAGTTTGGATACAAACAGAGGTCCCTCAGAAGAAAGACATAATGGCCTATTTCTGAAAAGAAATGAGCCGTAGGAAACCCTGTGGAGCACAGTTCTACTCTGACACACACGGGGGCGCCATGAGTCAGAGATGGAGACCCTGTGGAGCACAGTTCTACTCTGACACACATGGGGGCTCCATGAGTCAGAGATGGAGACCCTGTAAAGCGCAGTTCTACTCTCACACACATGAGGGCGCCATGAGTCAGAGCTAACTCAACAGAAAATGGTTACTGGTGGCAACAGGACATTTAATGGTGCACCACAGGTGCTGGGTCACTGCCAACAGCACCACGCCAGAGGTTGCTTCTCCAGGTTTCTTGGTGGAGATACAGACTGAGCCAGTGCTAACACTGGGAGGCTCACCTTGTAGTTTTGGCCGTTGTGATTCCGGGAAAATGGATAGAATGCTCCCAGCTGCATCCACCTTCTGCAGAGCTCCTCAGAAGTGTCCTTGGCAAAGCCACAGATGTCAGGACCCACCTGGAGGACACACAGATGGTGGAACACCACTCCACCCCCTCCCTCTCCTTCCCACCAGAATCTCCCAGGGGAACTAGCTAATGCCTTTTAATGAAAATGTTAGTACCAGGTGGGCAGACTTGGGCTACACCTTGTGTCCATCATTTATTGTTTATGACTTTCATCCACTTTATGACTCTGGGTATGTCATTGACCCTTCTGTGCCTTGGATTCCTCATTAATTACTGCCAGCACTTTAGTAAATGGGATAATGTTATCAAAACCACCTTCAGTAGCTGTTAATGAATAACCCCATTGCTCTCTAGTTGATTCCAACTCACAGCCACTGTAAAGGACAGAGTAGGACTCCCCAACTGGGTTTCCAAGGCTGCAATCTGCCCCATCTTTCTCCCACAGAGCAGGCTGCTCCACTTGAAGCCCCACTGTTTCAGGTAGCAGGTGAGTGCTTAACCCTCTGTGCTCACCAGGGCTCTGTTGATGTCATTAGGGCTGCATCTCTATCAGAGTTCATTTCCCAACACCAGACTCTTATCCTTCACTCATATATATTCAAAAGCCCCCAGGGTCTCTTCACTGCTTATCCTATTAGGCCAACCCACTTTCCCAGCATCTTTTTCCACCCTGTCTTCCCCAGGCATCAGATGCAGCAAACCCCAGAGACACCGCTGTTTTTTCTTGAGTTTATCTCTCAGTCTTAAAATTACCTTCTCCTAATTATTGTGATGAACTATACCCACTTTTCAAAGCAAACTAATGTGCCCTCTTTCCATTACTTCTCTCTTGCTTTTCTTTCTGACCCTTGGTCCCAGGTGATCTTGCCATCTGTGAGTTGTCATTACAAAATGAACACCGTAGAGGACAGGCACAGAGATTTGAGACATGGCAACAGCAGAAATAATGGGGGTCCTTGAGGGGTGCAGAGGGTTAATAAGTCCCTTCCTCAGACTCTGCATTACCATTCAGTCACCTACCCTAGTTAGCACTTTTGCCTTAGTTTGCTTAATCCTTTGATTATTTGATAGAGATATTCCATATCTAATCTCTTCTTGCTAAATTGTAACCTCTATGGGGGAAGAGAAGGTGTTCTTATTACCGTAAGAATGCTTCTCTCCACCCTCATTATCATACCTACTAGCTCAGTGCTTAGTGCATAACAAGGAAACGATGCACACATAAGAGAGCTTCCAAAAGTTCATGGAAAAATTCCATTAGCTTTAGAGTTAATTTTTCCATGAACTTTTGGAAGCCACCTGGTATGTGTTGAATTTAATGAAAATTAATTGAAACCATCAATGTTCTCTCCATTCACGTGGGTGCTGGACTCACAGATGACTTGTTCAGTTTGTGAAATTCATCAGCTACATACTTAATGAGATGTGCACTTTTCAGTATATGTGCTCTATTTCAATAAGAAGGACTATTCCAGGGATAACATTTCAAGATTGCCTCGTCTCTAAAAAGCAACACAGGAAAGAATGTGGTGGCAACAGAGCCTTAGTGATGTAGACACCGAAGTCCTGGGCCACAGTGGGCAGGAGAGCTGTGCTTAATGGTTTGGAACTTTCTAGAATAAAGCTTTCTGGGGATTGAGGTTCACAAGAGAACTTGGAATGGGTACTTACCATTGGGATACCAAAAAGGTTGAACTCAAGCATGCCAGGGATGGACCACTGAAGGTCATTCCAGGTGGCCTCATTGTCCCCTAGCCAATGGGCCGCAAACTTGCCAGAGCCCGCAAAGGTAGAACGGGTGATAATGAAGCTTCTCTTGTTAGGGAATACGGTCTTGACAGCACTAGAAATGGAGAGACATTTAGGGAGTCAAAGTGTGACCAGGAAATTGGTGTGACACTGTAGGACCAGTACTGGACTGTGAATCACAAGGTCAGTGGTTCAAACCCACCAACTGCTCCTCAGAAATCCTACACAGGGTTACTATGACTCAGAACCAACTTGATGGCACTTAACATCAACAAGGATCTGAACAGCGAATACTCCATTCTTCTCCTGCAGGTCTCTCCCAACAGAGTGGGAGTTGCTGTTAGACACCATTGGCACCACTGAGTACGTTCTGTTTTGTGGTGTTTTATGTGAACCATCAACCTCATTCATAGTAAGCAAGACTTTCAAAAGCTGACTTGAAAATGCTAGTAAGGAGAGGTATACATCTTTTATGTAACTATAAGATTTTTCACTGGTGAAACACGATGCTTTTGAATTATGGTGTTAGAGGAGAATATTGAAAGTGCCGTGGACTGCCAAAAGAACCAACAGATCCATGTTGGAAGAAGTGCAGTCAGAGTGCTCCTTGGAGGCCAAGATGGCCAAACTTCTGTCTCTCATACTTCGGACATGTTTTCAGGAGGGACCAGTCACTGAAAAAGGATATCATGTTTAGGTCAGAGAAAAAGATGAAGACCCCCAGCAAGTTGGATTAGCAAAGTGGCAGCATCGATGGACTCAAGCATGGCAACAAATGTGAGTTTAGCCCAGGACCAGACAGTGTTTTGTTCTGTCGTGCATAGGATTGCTATGAGTTGGTACCAACCTGATGGCACCTAACAACAACAAACATTCAGAAGTAGTCTTCCTCTCCTTCTTCCTAGGCTGTCTTAGTCTGGACGCTCCCATGAAACCTATCCACCATAGGTGACCTCGCTGGTATTTAAAATACTGGTGCCATAGCTTCCAGCATCACAGCCTGGCTTGCATATGAGCAATTGATGGTCTGTTCCACAGTCAACTCATGGCCTTGTTTAGACTGATGATATTGAGCTTTTCCACCATCTCTTCCCACAGATGTAGTCAATTTGATTCCTGTGTATTTCAGCTGGTGAGGTCCATGTGTATAACTGATTGGTTTTGAAATTTTCTATCATGTGATCTCTGGCATCATTTCTATCACCAAGGTCATGTTTTCCAACCTTTGCATTCCAATCACCAGACTTACATGTCATAAAATTTTTGGTTTAGGACTTCTTTATCAACTTTTTAAATGGCTACAATTAGGTCCATGACTTTGCTAGTGTATGAATGCGTGTTTCTGATCTGACTTTCTACTGCCAATTATAGCTGAGTATGTTGTTGTTGTTACAAAATCATAGCAACCCTGTATAAGGTTTCTGAAGAGTGTTAGCCCATAGTGCTAAACCAAATGTTAATTACCATCTCCTCAGTATCGAATCCACACACAAAGGCAGACAGAGCATGAGAGAAGAGTGCTAAGTCAGTTTCTAAAACTCCAGAACCACATGGGTATTGAGTTGCACACACTGCACACACCAGTTTATACAAGTGGTCCTCAGGGAAACCCTGGGCTCTGGACTCACACAGAAACAATTTATGTCCTTTGACAATCTATTAGCTCTTCGACCTTGGGCAAGTTACTTCACCTCTCTTTCATCCAAACTTTGTCCCATCCAGCCCTCCAGGTTTCATTTTATGCATCCAACCTTTTTTATTGGATGCCCAGCTTCCTTGGTGCCAGGCAGTTTAGTTCACTCGGTAAGGAGGACCATACTTTTCTAAGAAGATGGGTAACTGGACCATGAATTCGGTCTACAGGATTTGTAGTCTTACTCGGCTGTGGAGATTGCCATGGAGTAACCATACAGGTTGTGGACGTCATACTGCTTGCCCCAGTGCTGAACAGCATCCATGCAGAGGGTTTTGGAGAACAGGTACCCACCCAGGACACCTGGAGCAAGAGAGGGACATCAGTGAGAGCCTGGAGTATCCTGCTTCTGGACTATCACAGACCTGTGTGGTACCATCCCTGGGATAGCAGAGAGGGTGGTCAGCCTAGAGGTGATCTGCTACATCCTCACTACATTTGGGGTAGTTTCTCCACTACACAGATGGATTGGGCTGACCCCACACATTCTCCTGTCTATGACTAGAGGGAGGTGTTAGGAGCAAGAAGATCTACTTAGACATGAGGCTGAAGCTGAATCCTCCAGATGGGGCTAAGCTTAGTGGTCCAAGAATGCAATGACAAAATGAATTCATTCATTATCCCACCTCCCCAATGTCCATGTCTTTTAAAGAATGACCTCCACCTCTCCAATGTCCATGTCTTATAAAGAATGACCTCCACCTCCCCAATGTCCATGTCTTATAAAGAATGACCTCCCAATCTCTTTTTCCTTCATCTATTCTGTTTCATTTTCACAGTACCACTCTGTCCTGATCCAAACGACATTTGGTTCTAACCATTGTAATAGCTTATGACTGTCTTGTTTCCTTCTGGCCTGCCTGCTAGTTCATCTTAAATATTCATGTCAGATGAATACTTTTTAAACTATTTGAGTTTGCCACTTCCCATTAACCAAAATATAGTTTCTATTATCAAAAGTATGAAGTGTGAACTCTTTAGTTCCCATCTAAACCCCTCAACCCTGGATCCTGGCCCATCTATTTTGATTGCCTGTTTTCTCATCAGAATACACCAAACAAACAAACAAGTTTTCACTGAGTCGATTCTGGTTTCTGACCACAGCATGTGTATCAGAGTAGAACCATGCTCCACAGGGTTTTCAAGAACTGAGTTCTGGGAAGCAGATCACCAGGACTTTCTTCTAAAGCACCTGTGGGTGGACTTCCAACCTTCTGGTTAGCAACTGTTTGTACACCACAATGGAAGTCTTCCTTAAAAGCTATAATCAAGAAGCTTTGTTCCTTCCTCAATCCAGATACAATTTGCCTGTGATCCCCTAGCTTTTTTCTGACCATAAGGAATTCCTGAGTCCAGAGCCTTGGGAGGTATCATTGATGGACGTTCAATAAAGTTCACAAGCATCATGCTGGCTGCCTCTGACCGTGAATCCCCAGGCCTTGGGCTCCCTCTCCCATGGTTCCTGTCTGCTGACTTTCCTGGGCTCGTCTCTCCCCTACACTCCATACCTGGCTTCCTGATCTCTTTCTTGGAAAGCCCTGACCTGTGGGCACTCAAACTCGGGACTGACCAGCTCACCACCCATCTCTGACGCCTACAGCATATCCTCATTGAACCTTTCTCCAGAGCCTGCCAGGACCGCAGGTGGGAGACCAGACTCTCCCTTTTGGATGTATATGTTTCAGTTAGGAAAACGCAGGTGGCGGGGATTTTAGTATTCTTTCATGGTTTCCTTTTCATATTGCCCACCTGCTCTTCTCCTATGCACATTTCTATGCAATCTCCCTTGCCAGACTGCCCCTATCCACCCTCGGGAAGTTAAAATATCAAACACACATTGCCACTTCGTCAGGACAACCACACCAAGACTCACTGGGAGTGAAAGGGGGATAATTCAGATTGTTGGTGGAACATCCTGAAACCGAGCCATCAACAAAGTTGGCGACTTCATTCATATCCTACAAGACAAAAGATGAAAAACTGCTGAGAAAAAAACAACTCGTCCACTGGGTTGCACTGAAGATTTCAAAATAATTCTGTCTAGTATGGTTATATATGAATATATAGTTGTTGTGAGGTGTCGTTGCGTCATTTCGGACTCAGTGCAGCCTTGTATAGTGTTTCCAAGGAGTGGCTGGTGGATCTGAACTGCTGACTTTGTGGTCAGTAGTCCAGTGCTTATACTATATGTTTTTGTTGCTGCTAAATACCATCAAGTAGGTTCGGACTCATAGCAACCTGTATAGGGTTTCCCAGACTGTAAACACTTTGGGGAGCAGAAAGCCTCATCTTTGTCCCATGGAGCCACTGATAGGCTCAAACCACCAACTTAGTGGGTCACAGCCCGGTGTTTATCCTACAGAGCCAGCACGTTCCCCATATTGCATATAGCGTGGTGCTGCAGGATAATGCACTGGACTTCAATAATTTGTCCATTAGATTTCTTCAATATTTTAAGTCAAGTCTTAAATTTCTTTTTTCCTTCAGTTGTTTCAGCTTGAGAAATGCTGAGCATGTTCTTTCTTTTTCCTTTTCTACCACCAGGTCTTTGCACATTTCATTATAATATTTGACTTTGTTTTCTTGAGCTGCCCTTTGAAATGTTCTGTTCAGCTGCTTTACTTAAAAGAGCTGAACAGAACATTTCGAAGGGCAGCACAAGAAGATGAAGTCAAATGTTATAATAAAATGTACCACCATGCCACCAGCTGCTCCTCAAAACCCTATACAGGATCTCTATGGGTCAGAACTGACTTGACTACACTTAACAACAATGCATGTGTATATATGCATCCAAGTGTAACAATGAACACACACAGACATACCAATGTATATGTTTGTACAGAAGAGAGAGCGTGTGTGCCAGAGCCAAGAGAACCATGTGTTGAGAAAGACACACGCCAATACTCTGATGGTCAGTATCTTTGGTTGATGACATTTTAGAGGGACTTAACTTTGATCTCTTTAGCACTCTGTATTATTAGAATTGTCTACAGTTGCTTTTGTTTGACATAATGTGAGACCTTTCTCCTTAGTGCAGCCACAGTGTGTTCATATACCTGAGATCATGGGTTCTGACCAGGTGGTCCAACATCCTGAACTGGCCATTGGACCCTCCATGTGTCTATGACAGTGTAAGGAGTATGTGGCCTACTGTGACTTGAACTCATACATTTGTAATATCAGGGCTGGAGTCAGGAGAAAACATTCTTCTGAATTTCCTTCCATCTCTAACATTCTGGTTTTGATACTTAGCTACATGGTTTGTTAAGATTATTGAATAGTAAGATCGAGAAACCTAAGAATTTATTGTTGTATTGCCTTTCCCTACTCTCCTTCCCTCATCTTCCCCTATGTTTCATGACTCAGAAATATAGATATGGACATACAGACTAGTAATCAAGTTGTTAAGAACTCACAATCTTCAAATTGACAAGAGCCACTAGAACGTTTAGGCAGGAAACCTAAGGGCAGTGAGTTGATGTGAATGAGGGAGGAACAAGTCATAAAAGGAGGATGAGGATGGCTGCACACCTGGGAGAATCTCAGTGTTGTCACTGAACTACACAAGTAGTACCTGCTGAACTGGTGTATGGTTTTCTGTGTGCATTTTCAACAATAGTAACTAATTTTTTTCTTAAAGAACTCACAATCCATATTCCATCAAACTCCACTTGAGTGTAGAAAAGCTTAAATTCTGTTGCCCACCAAGCAGCACACTTGGGATTGGTATAATCAGGAAACACAGTTTTTCCTGGCCAGACCTACAGGAGAAAAAGAAAAACATCCAAAAGCACACAGAGTGAAAATGGAGCAAGATAGAATGTTTTCCAAAGATAATATGACCATCTTGACAGAGGTGCCCATGGACAGGACTTTTTCAGGAAGGAATGCTGGACTATCTGACTGCTTAGAAAAAACTTCAGGGGAGTTAAACAGTCAATTGAAATTTTTATTGTAAATAAAATAGCTAAATTCTTAATGAATAATCCCACGGATAAAGACATTGTCTAACTTACCAGACTTCGACTCTGCCTCACCCTTTCCTCCTGCTTTCTCTATGGTTCAGACCCACCAGCTGCTCCTCAGAAACCCTCTATAGGGTTGTTATGAGTTGGAATCAACTCAATGGCACTTAACAGTAACAATAATTCTAGCAGTCAAGAGTGAAGTACTGTCTATAAATGTCCACTGGGCCATTACAAGTTGGAGCTGCTGATCACTTGATCAGCCCTAAACCTCTAGGTCTCTTCTCTATTCCTTTTCTATCCCATTCCTCACCAACATTAGGGGCTCAAAGAGGGTTGGCTGAGGTATTAGACATGGACCAGCGGATAACACCTTCATGCAAAACAAGGACAAATAAAGGTTTGAGAAACTGCCAAACTTATTAATGCTACAGAAAAATCAAGTAGCAAGAAGAATGGAGGTGGTCCATTGGATTTTCCAATTAGCAAGTTGCTGAACTGGGGTCATTTCAGAGCACTGTCAGTGAGGGGGGTTAGGAGACGGACACAGTCAGTTGAGGCATGAATGGGAGGTGATGAAGTAGACACTGTGTGTGTGTATATGTGTGTGTGTGTATGTGTGTGTGTGTGTGTGTGTAAACTATTGTCAAAGGGGCTCAGACCTGAAGGGATTGTGGTGGGCAGATAATTGCAAGTGAAAAAGTCAAGGGTATCCCACTGCCCCCTTATTACATACAAGTAGGGAGTCCTGGTGGCACAGTGGGTTAAGTATGGGACTGGCAACTGTAACATCGGTAGTCCAAACCCATCAGTAGAAAAGTCCAAACCCAGAAGAAAGATGAAATAATCTTCTCTCATGAAGGTTTACAAGAGTCTTGGAAACCCTAGAAGCAGTTCTACTCTCTCCTATAAGACGGTCATGAGACAGAGTCACCTCAGCAAGTGTGGATTGGGTTGGGTTTGGATTGACGTACAAATAAAGGGTCAGTGAAAAAGAAAGAGCCCCTCACTGAGCTGGATTGGCATAGTGACTACAGTAATCAGCACAAACACAGCAACAAGTGTGAGAACTGAGCAAATGTCTGTTCTGCTATATATAAGGTCGCTTAAGTTGGAGCCAACTCAATGCACCTAACAACAATGTATACAAGGCATCTGAGCAAAACAAAAACAACTCTTTCTCCCCCACAGCCCCTCCGCCAGCCCCCAGCTCTCCATTAAATTACCTCCCCAACAAGTGGAGTCAGTCCATCCGAAGTGTTCACCCATATATTCATGACTGATCCCCTGTTATAGGGGCCATAGGGGTGGCTTGCAGTAGAGTTATTGGAGATGGCTGGGTCCTAAAAGGAGAAACACAAAGAAGACACTAGCTTTACCCAAGAGACCCAAAAGGGAGCTTTGGAATTGGGACATGGGAGGTGGAGGCAGGAGTAAGAAAAGGAAGCAGCAAGTACCTCATTGGGGGGTGGGGAATGAGAGGGTACCACATACCACAATGATGACCACTTTCTGCCCATTGTTGTGTAACTCTTTAACAAACTCAGGAAAGCCTTTATAAGCAATTGGGTCATACGTGAAGTCCCTCCGCTGGTCCATGTAGTCAATATCGGCATGCTGGACATCCTGTAAGAATAGAGCATGTCCACAACTAAGCGCTTAGGAGTGGATGCATTCAAAGGAATCGGTCAAACTGTCAAATTTATTTTTCACACTAAAGCTGTGAATAATGTATGTGCAGTTAACATTTAGGGGTTGAAGTCCACCCAGAGGTACCCTGGAAGAGAGGTGTACGGACCTTCTTCTAAAATGCCAACCACTAAAGTCCCTGGGGAGCACAGTGCTCCTCTGACACAGACAAGTTGAGGCTTGTGAGTCAAAAGAAGCCCTGGACACTGCCTCTGCTTATGTACACTGCATATCCACTTTCCTTATGTACACTACATATCCACTTTCCTTATGTACACTACATATCCACTTTCCTTATGTACACTACATATCCACTTTCCTTATGTACACTACATATCCACTTTGCTCTGAGCCTGGAGCTGAGTTCATAACCAGCTCCTAGTATACAAGTGCGTCTTTTCTGATAATAATTTTAAAAGCATATAACCATTGTTCCCCAAGGTCTGCCCCCATGCCTGCAATCAGGGCTAATCACTTCATTCTACCTGGCTGGCAGGTTCTCTGGCTTTAAAAACCTAACCAATGAAACAAACAATCAGTACAACTACGAGGAGGCTTGAAAGCTGTCCCAAACTCCTATGACCTGAATTACGAGATGAAGGGGAAGACCTCAGTCTGCCCAGCATTTCTCTGATAACACTTCTTTTACTCCAAGGTTCCATAAAAATCTACAGCCTCAGAAACGCTGTACAGGATCGCTATGGGTCGGAACCGACTCCACAGCACCCACCCCCACCCCACCACCCCACTCTAAGGCTACTTTGCTGCTGTCCTTTCCTAGTTGCACTGATGGGACGACTGGAGCTCAATATGAAATCAGCTCTTGCTTGGAGGCCCCAGGGTCCGCATCCAAGGGGATGGGGTAGGGAAGAGGGGACAGGACTATCCCAGAGACTTTAGGTCTTTTCCCCTTGTGTCTTTCATGGAACTTCATTCCTGCCATAGTCAGTCATTCAAAGCATAGAAGCATTTTATCACATTGCAGAAGCTGTGTCCTTTTGTTCACATGACCCTCTAATAGTCTGGCACTGTAGGATAAGCACTGGGCCTCAAGGTCAGTTTGCACTGCAAGGTCAGCAGTTCAAACTCACCAGCCACTCCTCAGAAACCCCATACAGGGTCTCTATGTGTCAGAATCAACTCGACGGTACTTCACAACAACAACAACAGCTGAACTGAGTTTGGAGACATCAGTTGCATATCTGAAAGCTTCCTCTCATATTCACCCACTGTGCCCCCAGATCACTTTCAAAGAAAATGTCTGTCTGTAAGAAAAGTGGAATCAGAAATAGAGTCACTATACTGCTAGAAGGGAGTCCTGGTGCGGCACGTAGGATTAAAACCCTGGACCACAAGGACTGTTGGAACCATAATGTAGGCGGTTCAAACCCACCAGCTGCTCCTCAGAAATTCTATACAGGGTCACCATCAGTCAGAACTGACTCAGCAGCACTTAACAACAACAACATGGTGCCAAAGAGAGAAGAGACTTAGTGGTGCAATGAATAAAGCAGTGGACTGCTAACCACAAGGTTGGTTCAAACCTATCAGTCACTCTACAGAATAAAGAAGAGGCAATCCATTCCCATAAGACTCACAGCTTTGGAAACCCTATGGAGCAGTTGTACTCAGCATCAGAGGGTCTCTATCAGTGGCGATCAGTTCAATGGCAGTGAGTTTTGGGTTTATGGTACTAGAGAGCTGAGACAGGAAGTGAATTCTCTCATGGCTAATATGAAATGATGTTGCTGGGGCTAAGTAATCCCTGGGTAGTGCTCATGATTTAGTGATGAGCTCCTAAAATAAGGTTGGTAGTTGAGAAGTACCTCGGAAGACATGCCAGGCAATCTTCTTCCAAAAGGTCACAACCTTGAAAGCCCTATGAATCATGAAGACTATTGTCTCGTAGAGAACGAGGCAGCATTTTGTGCTGCTACATGATGAGTTGGCATGATTTATTGTTGTTGTTTGGTGCCATCCAGTGGGTTCCAACACATCATTACCCCGGGCACAGCAGAACGAAACACTGCCTGGTTCTGCAGCATTCTCACAATCGGTGTCCTAGATGAGCCCATTGTTGAGTTACCACGTCAATTCATCTCACTGAGGTTCTTCCTCTTTGTTGTTCATACTCCACTCTACCAAGATGTCTTCTTCCAGAGATGGGTCCCTCCTGATAATATGTCTGCCACTGATTGAATCATGTCCCTCAAAATACATGTTGGCTTCGTTGGATCATGGTTCTCATTGGTTTGGCAGTAATGGTGTGATGTATAATGTGGAAGTTATGTTGTGATTCCCCATGATGTAATCTGATGATGTTATAAAGCAATAGAGGATTAAGGGTGGGCTGCAATACCCTTAATCCCATCACAACCCTGATCTGATGTAAGGGAGTTTCCCAGGGGTGTGGCCTGCAGTATCTTTTATCTTACAAAGATAATAGGAGAGAGAACTGCCCAGAGGAAGTGGGACCAACTAGCACCTGGTAAGAACAGCTGGGAATGAAGACTACTTCCTGTGTCAAGTTCCTAGATCAAGGGAAAGATTGATACCAAGACACATGGAGATCTCCTGGGGACACTGGGCAAAAAGAAACAAGGATCTTGCCCCAGAGCTGACATTCTGAACTTGGACTTCTAGCCTCCTAAACTATGAGAGTATTTTTCTGCTTGTTAAAGTTGCCCACATGTGGTATTTCTGTTACAGCAACACTAGATAGCTCCGGCAATGCCCAAAGTATGTGAGACAATGTCTTACCATTCTCAATTCTAAGGAGCATTCTGGCTGTAACTCTAAGACATATTTGTTTGTTCTTCTGGCAGCCTGTGGTATATTCAGTATTCCTTGCCAATACCACAATTTAAATGCATAAGTTGCCATATAGTCAGAGCTTATTCCACAGCAGTTAACAGCAACAACTTACATAGGGAATCCTTGCGGCCCGGTTTCTCTCCACGACTTCCTTCATGTTGTCAAGCGTTCCGTAGTCATATCGGCTCAAATGAAAGCCAAGAGCCCAGTATGATGGCAGGGCTGGCCGACCAATGAGCTGAAAGAAATTTGTGAAATGAAAGTTTGTAAACACTTCATTTTTAATAAGCGCTTGTTTGGGGGCCACAAAACAAACTTCTTATTTCCAATTCACCATGTCATTGCTTATTGTCCCAGTCCCTTAAAAACCCCACGGTCAGGAGGGTCATGTGTTGGCTATTTTTGGATTCTCTCCCCTTCCTTCTATACCATACAAATGCTACAAAGCAGGGTCCCATTTCTCTAATAACTCAAACTCCTAGTGGCAGATTTTTGTGAGTCACATCGCCGTGTTAATTCCTTCCTGGTGATCACAGTATCATACATTTACCTCTAAATACTCTTGAACAACTTGCTCTGGAGTGTTTCCCAAGAAGACATAGAAGTCGAGAATGCCCCCAATAGTGCGGTAGGTGACTGCAGGGGCAGGCTGGAGAACAACATCTTGAAGAATTCAAAAAAAGGACAGTAAAAATTAGAATTTATGTTAGAGAAATAAATAGAAGCATCTAGAGTAGACCATAGGCATGTCGATATTAATAAAGTAGCCCTAATACTGATGGCCAAGGCCAGCCATCATGGCACCCAAGAGCCCAAGCACTTGAGTTGACAGTAGGCTTCAATAGTGGGTGACTGAAGCATGTGCCAAGACCCAGGTTCTCATGACAAACCAATCCCATTTACAACCTGAGGACAGGATGTCCCCACCACACCCATACACCATGTGCTGAAGGAGAAGATCTTTGCTTTTTATTTCCCTTACAAACTGATATTTTGGTAAAACAACATGAAAATGAACTATTAGGAGGAAAGCCATGCATGCAGACCTGAAACCCACCACCTTGTGACCCACCAGGCACCCTACTTTGTGAGCAGTGATCTTCAATGAAGTTCAGTTGAGAGGAAGAGGGGCTCAAGAGCCTAAGCGCACCATCAACCTCAAGGGAATTCTGATACACCTCCTTTCTTCAGCTATCTAGTGATTGATTGCTACTGGACTCTGTAGTTGCTGAGGTCAAGTAGGAAATGTTGAGAATCATTGATCAAAAGTGGAGACCACTGGTACTTTCTGGAGTCCTATGATGTTGCACTCTTTGGTCTTAAAGTCTCTGATCTCGCTCTGCCTGTTCCCCTTGCCTGCACTTGACCGTTCTGCCTAGGAGCATCTGATCATAAGGTTTTCTGCTCAGTTGTAGCTCCCAAGTTAGCTCTAAGTTAGCTCTGCTATCATTGTTAGGACCAGAGCAGGTGGTTTTTTCTGTTGTTGTTGTTGTTAGGTATCATGGATTCATTTCCGATTCATAGCAACGCTACGCTCAACAGAACAAAACACTGCCTAGTCCTGTACCATCCTCACAATTGTTGTTATGTTTGAGCCCGTTGTCACTGCCACTGTGTCAATCCATCTGGTTGAGGGTCTTCTTTTTCTCTGACCCCTCTACTTTACCAAGCATGATGTCCTTCTCTGGAAACTGCTCCCTTCTGAAAACATGTTCGAAGGATGACCTGGGTTCCAAGGAGCATCCTGGCTCTATTATGTGATACTTTGCATGGGAGAACATCAGCTTTACACTCATCCTATCATATTTCATTTCATTGCCATGGTTACAATCCCCTCCATGCATCATTAAACAACCAGAGGGTACACCACACAGGCCTGCCCCTCAGCCATCAGCACACAGCCCCTCTCCCTCCCTGAGTCCAGTGTCCCCAGCTGTTCCATCTCTCCACATCATCATCTCTGCTTCCATTTCTGGCGTCACTGCTTCTCTGGATAGGGTCCCGCACTCCGCTCTTCTTCCTTGATGGTCTCAGGGACCTCTGCTCTTGGACTGCAAAATTAGTCACTCCCCTCCTTTTGTTACAAAACATCTACCTTTACATTTCCGACCCTCACAGTCAGTCCTGATAGCAATTATTCACTATTGTAGCACGTGAGTCTTATCCCCATCTCCTTTCATCAGCCCCATCCCAACAGGTTGGAAATCATTCAGTTGAGATTCTACCTCCCCCCACCCCACCTGAAACTAGACTCCCACTTCAAAGATTGTAAGCCAGTCACTTCTTGCTGTTGTAGGCACCCCGTTCCATTTTGGGTAGCCAATGTCTAAGTTACCCATCCCTGTCAACCCTGTGTACCAAGGGGGTGGGAGTGATCCTCGCTGTAAAGATTTGTTCCCTTTTTAGAGCTACTACATCCATAAAGTTGCATTACTACTACAGGTAAAGTTGCATCAGGCAAATCTGCTGCACAAGACCTTTTTAAAGTGTTCAAGAGCAAATACGTCAGCTTGAGGACTAAGGTGCGCCTGACCCAAGTCATGGTATTTTCAGTACCTTCATATGCATGCGAAAGCTAGACAGTGAATAAGGAAGATCGTAGAAGAATTGATGCTTTTGAGTTATGGTGTTGGAAGAGGATATTGAAAGTGCCATGGGCTTCCAAAAGAATCAATAGATCCATTTTGGAAGAAGTACAGCCAGAGTGCTCCTTGGAGGCCAAGATGGCCAAACTTCATCTCTCATACTTCAGACATAATGTCAGGAGGGACCAGTCACTGGAGAAGGATATCATGTTTGGTAAGGTGGAGGGTCAGCAAAAAAGAAGAAGACCCCCAACGAGATGGATTGGCACAGTGGCTGCAGCAATGGGCACGAGTGTAACAGTGATTGTGAGGTTGATGCAGGACAGGGCAGTGTTTCATTCTGTTGTGCGTAAGATCACTGTGAGTTGGTACCAACTCTACGGCACCTAACAACAACAACAATGACCGAGCCATCTTAATGGACCCCATTCCTTTTACCATAGTGCTATAAGAAACAGACTGAAAACAGCTCTTATGATTTGCTTTGTTTTTTCATAAGCATATCTCTTTGGTTCTTTACCCATGGCATTGCTGTTCATCAGAAACACTCCAAATGATAAACCACTCGCATCTTCAAGGCACAGGAAGAATGTCTGTGCACCATACAGGTTCGTTCCATCCTGCAGAGAGATCATGTAAAATTAAACATTTACAACCTACACATCTAAACCCCACATTGCTGGAAATGACTTAGTAAATCAGTCTCACTTGGTCAATTAATCAGTGTTGGTTATTCAATTAACAGGAGACTCATTTATAGAAAAGTCATAAATTAACATAAAAATATGAGTCTACATTTGTTTGATGTTAACCAAAGAAACTAGGAGTTTCTGAATGGGCTAGTTGTGACCATATATCTAATAGATTGTGAAATTGCTAGGAGGTGGGAGGGAAAGAATTCTGAAATTGTTCTCCAAAACACTCCCCTCTCAAAGAGGCCTGGCTTAACCTGACTTAAAGTCGTCTACAAAGGTTCCATCTCATCTTAATAAGAATCAGGAATCTCTCTAACATAAGCTAGCAAATATCATTCTGGTTTCTGTGTCTAGGTAGCATTCTAGACTTTCAAACATAGTTCTCAACCCAGGCTGGACCCAGACTAATTAAAATGGAATCTCTGGGGATGGGGGCAGGCAGTGATATTTCAAATTAAATTTTCCCAATGTGGAGTCCTGGTGTGGCACTGTAGGATAAGCATCGTACTGCTAACCATAGGTCAGTAGTTCAAACCCACTAGCTGCTCCTCAGAAACACTGTATGTGTCACCATGGGCTGGAACTGATTCAACAGCACTTAACAACAACAACAATAGAATGTAGATTCATGCTTGAGAATCATTGCTGTAGAACACTGTTAGGATTATGTGGGAATCTTATTTAAATGTGGACACAGATTTAGTTAGTAGCTGGAGAAAGCAGGGTGTGGCAGCCTCAATCTCTGACTCCGTGGTGGATGAACAGAGTTTTCTGAGTAGCAAGGATCTGGGGCTCTGTAATTACAAAATTGTCACCAGCTTTTCCCAAATGAACTTCTCGGGCTCAACACCGTCTGCGATTTTCTGCTGAGCAAAAGGTGTAGCAGGAGCCAGGGGCTCTACATCAGATGGATCAGGGCCTAAATTCCAACTCTGATACCAAATTTTTGACCTGGACTGATTATGGGGCTTCTCCCAGCCTCAGTCCCCTTGTCTGTGAAATGGAGCTAATCATATTTCTCTTCCTTGAGTCCTTTTGGTGAATGGAGACAAACTACTCTTAATAGAATAAAAGCACTTTGCTTAATAAAGTATTGTCGTCATTCTTTGATCCAGCCCCTGAATACAGCCTCAATAGAGTCTTCCTGAGCCAAGAACATGCTCTGATTGGAGTTCAGCACACAAAGCAGACAACAAACCTTCATAAGAATTAAGAATAAAGAGAAGCAATCAGAAAACAACAACAACAAATGCCCGTCTTTTCTTCCAACGCCCTAACCATTCTTCACACCAGAAGTGATTGGCACAGGCTGATTTTTCATCCTCCTTTGCTGACCCTGTATGGGGTTTCCAAGGAGCATCTAGTGAGTTTGAACTGCCAACCTGTCGGTTCAAACCAATCTCACAGTTCAGTGCTTTACCTAACAGTGTCACACCAGGAGTCACACCTGGACTCCACTTGGCTGACAGACTTGGTCAATTGATGAATTTTAAGTATCAGCCTAAAAATGTGGCAAGCGGGGTTAACATGAGGAGCAGAATCCAGATAGTAACATTTTCTCCACAACAAGCTGGTGCAAAGAGGAAGTGTCATGTGTGGAGCACGTACTATGTGTTGGACACTAAGTTGGGTTCTTTATATGTTATTGATACACCTGTCCCTTACCACAACCCTTTAAGGTAAGTATCAGTTAAGTTCATTAAGAGCAGTCAAGTCGGTTCCAACTCATAGCGACAGAGTATAGGTTCCCAAGGAGTGACTGGTGGGTTTGAACCACCAAGACGCTGCAGTTCAAACCGACCTTGCAGTCTAGTGCTTTATCGTACAGTGCCACACCAGGACTCCACTCATTATATAAATGAAAGACTGAAGACAAGTAGCAGAGCCAGAATTGAAGCTCAGCATCTGGTTCTGGACTCTTACTCTGAACCACTCTAGGGCACTGCTAGACGCAGGCCCCAAGAATCCTGATGATCTTACTCTGAACCACTGCCAGGTGCTGTTAGAGACAGCCTCCAGCAGTGAGACTACCATATTAGAATGTCCCCCAGGAGCTCACCCCATTGGGGGTTGTGTCTCTGGCAAAGATGGGCCAGGTTTTCCAGTTCATGTCGTGCCGATACTGCTGGTGCACATGTTCCCCCAATCCGTACACGTTGGCGCTGGGCAGGCGGATGGAGAGCTGCAGGAACTGATCATCGAAGAGGAGGGGCCCAATGCTTGAGTCAAACCTGGACACAGGTGAGAAATACAGGTACATGTGGGCAAGTGGGGTGGAGAGAGCAATTACTTAGCACAATGCTCTTTATAGCTTAATGACTCAAAATTACCAAACCAAGTGTCAGTGCGTCAACTCCAACTCATGGTAACCCTGTATGTCAAAGAGGTAGAACTGTGTTTCATGGGGTTTTCAGTAGCTGATTCTTTGGAAGTAGGTTGCTAGGCTTTGTTCTCGGTACATGTTAGAAAAGCCTGTTGGTTGGGAGCTTAGCACGTTAAACGTTTTACCACCAGAAACTCCACAATGACCCAATAATCTTCTCCATTTGCACTCTGGTCACATTTTCCCACTGACACCAAGAGGCCAGGACTCCATAAGGGCAGGTTGTTGGTGTTGTTGTCGTGTGCCGTGGAGTCAGTTCTGACTCATAGCGACCCTGTACAAGGTTTCCGAGGCTGTAAATCTTTATGGGAACATGTGACAAATTCCTTAGATCTGTCCCCACATGGAGTCCAGATGTGGCCCTGCAGGATAGCACCAGACCACAAAGTCAGTTTGAACTTCAAGGTTGGTGGTTCAAATCCACCAACCACTCCTCAAAACACTATACAGGGTCACTATGAGTGGAAACTAAACAACAACAACACTACAAGGGTGAGGAACGTCCAGACCGTGGGCTGTATAAAGCCCACAAAATCAGTTGGTCTGGCCCTGCCAAAGCAACCGTAGTTCCAGCCTTCACATTAGGGTGAGTCAATTAAATTTGAACAAATATAGCAGGCTAATGTTTAATTTGATCATTTTATATGGCCTGCAAATTGTTGCCAATCTTGGCAGAAAAATGATTCCCACCCCTGCTATACTATGTGACAAACTACTATGTTTTAGGAGGAGGAGTTGTTCGGTAAGTATTTCCTGGTGGGTGGAAAAGTAAGAAAGTAATAAAAAATTAATGAAGAGAAAGAAGACAGAGCCAAGTACACATTTTGAGGTAGAAAGAGAGTATCTACCATCAACATTTGGATTACAGCCTTCAGAAACACTGTTGAAACGCCCTGGTCCCCAGACACTTTCTCAGAGCTTACAGAACACGGTTGTTGCTCTGCCGGATCACTTTGATGCTGAATGGCTGCTTGGAGACTTCCACTCTGTAGGTCAAGGAAGAAGCAGCGATTCCGTCAAAGGGTTTCACGTGCTCATGGGGAACTTCATACCTGTTCTTGTTCTGGTCGGTAAACTGTCCAGAGAGAGGAGAGGAAGCGAGCCAACGTAAAAACTCAGATCCTGACTCAATGACACTATGCCATTGTACCTCACCCAATCCAAGTGGAGAATACAGACCCAACAACACCCAACTGAAGTGGAGAACACAGACCCAACAACACTAGGATGTGGTACGTCATCCAATTCAATTGGTTAACAAATGGTTAGCACTTGGACAACATTGGCAGAAATATACACTGCAAATATACACTGAAGAGATGGGCTACCCTTAGACTTCTCCAAGCTGTGCTCCTTTGTTTCTCTACCCCCACCGCCCCCCTAGCACATTTCACGTGGTATCTAGGGAAAAGAAATGAAGATCAAATCTCACCAGTCAGATTTATAACATATTGTGGCAGTGAGCACATTGAGAAAAGGTCAGAGGTAACAAATAAGAACAATGATAATAGAGAAAAATACCTCCATTCGCTAAAATTTCTATTTTGCAAAAGCCACAGTCCCTAGGCAAGGAACAAGTATCCCCTAAAGAGGTCTTTTAAAATAGACAAATCACAACCTTAAAGTGGAATCGGTTGGATGACTGGTATTCTGCCGTGAGAAGGACACTGTCGACACTGCTTCCAAACAGGTATGAGGATTGTAGCCTCCGCAGCTCAGCTGTGAACCCTAACACATAGGAAAGAAAAGATCTTCATCACTGGCTCCATGGATTCACAAATGATGGCCATACGAAAACTAAGCTTTATGTCAAAGGGAGCTAGGAAGAAGCCTTTATTTTCCAAAACAGGAAGAGATAGACAATCACCCTATTATTTCTACATCCTGCCTGGGGCCAGATCCTGAAACTAGGTGCGATCACTACCTTACCTGAAGACCCATGTCCTTTTTGTATGTCTGGTGATATCCCGTATAGACCCAGTTCCTAGTCCACCCTAGTCTCTTGTTAATCAGATATTTGATGTACTCTCAGCCTTCAAGCTATAATTATACGAGCTTCCTTCTGCCATTTTCCTGTGAAGTGACAGATGCTCCTAGACCTTGAAGCCAAGCCACTCATTCCATGGCAAGCCAGCTAATCATGGAGGCCTTATCAGAATAGAGTCTATTGGGCCAGGAGACAATAGAGAAGGATATACCTCTTCCTTGATGCTAACAGCTTCCCCATACAATAAGCTTCTGGTATCCCCCAGAATGTCCATGATTGTTATACACTGTATTTCAAAGCAGGAGAAGGTAAAGGGGGTACCCACAGACACAGACTAGGTAAGTTCCACAAAATGTGGATCCCATGGCCATTGTAGCCTTATCAGTGAAATTACATAATATCGAGACCCCCTTGGGGACATCAACACTTGAGATTACAGCCAAGAAAGCCCCATGGAACCCTTCTACTCTGTCTCAGGGGTCACCATGAGTTCGAATGGACTCCGCATAACTAGTAACAGAGACGGAAGTGATCGCAGGGATTGCTGCATTCTAATCCTTCATGTTCAAAGTGAGAAGGTGGTGACCCAAGGAGGTCAGGATGGTTGTCCAAGGTCATGAAGGTATGTGGGCAGAGACATAAGCAGAGATGGATCTGGATTTCTGAGGCAAAGTCGATTCTAGGTCCTGGTTCAGAGTATGTCCACAAGGCAGTGTAGCAGGACCAAGCAGCACTTGTCTGTCTGCTGGAGGCACAAGCAGACCTATAGAGGGCCAGGGCTCGTGCCTCCTGCAACACCCTCCCAACTCACCTGCCTTGGTGCTCACGAGGTCAGCTTCAGCCTGGTAGCCATGACTCTTGGAATAGTAGCACGTGGGTGTATTGATGGTTCCCTGAGGATTCCAGCAGCAACCTCGCTGTTCACATGTGTACTGAAACAGAAGATTGTCCAAGAACTCTATTCACTGCAGAAGACCATCAGCTATGAAGCACAGTACCTCTCATCTGAGCTGTGGTTTCATTAACTAACCTCGAGGTAGAGAAGCTGAGCTGCATCCCAAGCAACAAAGAGCCCTCACACCGGTCAGTTCCTCTGAGCAGTGCTCTTCCTTCCCACCCCAGGGCATTTCCATGCAGCATCACAATCTGTTCCGTTCCACCCACATCAAGCTGATGAGCATATATCTAAACGCTCTAACCCACAATCCAAACTTGGAAGTGAAGCTTACTTCCTACGAACTGACTCTTTTTTTAATAGACTGTGCAATCAACTCTATTTGTTGTTGTTGTTGTTGTTGCATGCTCTTGAGTTGGTTCCAACTCATAGTGACCATGTACAAAGCAGTCCTGCGCCACCCTCACAAGTGTTACACTTGAACACTTTGCTGCTGTCACTGTACCAATCTATTTCATTGGGGGTCTTCCTCATTTACATTGCCCCTCCCCTTTGTTGTTGTTGTTATTGTTAAGTGCCGTCGAGTCGGTTCCGACCCTTAGCGACCCTGAACAGGGTTTCTGAGGATGTAAATCTTTAAGGGAGCAGAAAGCCTCATCTTTCTCCTGTGGAACAGCTGGTAGTTTCGAACTGCTTACCTTGAGGTTCATAGCCCGATTCGTAACCACTACGCTACCAGAGCTATGTCTTTCTTCAGGGACTGGTCCCTTGTCCCAAGTGTGAGAGATGAAATCTCACCATCTTGGCTTCTAGGAAGCATTCCGGCTGTACTTCTTCCAACACAGATTAGTTTTCTCTACTGTCAGTCTATGATACTCTTCTCCAACAACATAACTCAAATGCATCAATTCTTCTATATGAGAATTGTCTTCCTTATCCATTGTCCGACTTTCATATGCATATGGCTTGTGTCAGGCACACCTTAGTCTTCAAACTGAAATCTTTGCTCTTGAACACTTTAAAGAAGTCTTGTGCAGCAGAGTTGCCTGTTGCAATATGTCTTTTGATTTCTTGACTGTTACTTCCATTAGTGTTGATAGTGGATACAAGTCTTTGACAACTTCAATTTTTCTCCGTTTATCGTGATGTTATTTACTGGCCCGGTTGTGAGGATTTTTGTTTCTTTACACTGAGGTACAACCCATAATGAAGTCTGTGGCATTTGATATTTATCAATAAGTATTTTAAGCTGGATTATATGAAAAAGAATGTGGTGTCAGGAGGAAGATTCATTAACAACCTGCAATATGCAGATGATACAACTTTGCTTGTTGAAAGTAAAAAGGACTTAAAATACTTACAGATGAAGATCTAAGACCACAGCCCTCAGTATGGGTTGCACCTCAATGTAAAGAAAACAGCACTCCTCACAACTGGACTAATAAATAACATCATGATAAACTGAGAAAAGATTGAAGTTGTCAAAGACTTCGTTTTGCTTGGATCCACTATCAACACTCATGGAAGCAGCAGTCAAGAAATCAAACAACATATTGCATTAGGCAAATCTGTTGCACAAGACCTTTTTTAAGTGTTGAAGAGCAAAGATGTCAGTTTGAGGACTAAGGTATGCCTGACCCAAGCCATGGTATTTTCAATAACCTCACATACATGTGAAAGTTGCACAGTGTATCAGGAGGGATCAGTTCCTGGAGAAGAACATCATGCTTGGAAAGCAGATGGTCAGTGAAAAAGAGGAAAACCACCCACAAGATGGGTTGACACAGTGGCAGCAACAAAGGCCTCAAACGTAACAGCCATTCTGAGGATAATGCAGGACCTCACAGCGCTTCTTTCTGCTGTAATTGCGGTCGCTTAGAGTCAGAACGGACTCAAAGACACTAGTAACAACAACAACAACAACAACTTGGGGTTCATCAGCCTTTGAGTCAGTATGATATCTTACCCACCAATCTGGGGCTTATCTGCCCCTGCAGTTATTAGTGTCAGAAGAAACTTCCACCCTAACATCTGACCCATGGATTCTAACCTACCAACTCCTCCTTAGAAAACCCTGTATAACCTTCTCCTCCCTTCAATATTTCATTCCTTAAGTCTCTGTGTGGCCCCAAGTCCTCTTTCTCTCCAAACCCTCTTCATGTTTTATATCAGAAGTTGGCATGTCTTGAGACAGGGTCTAGAGTTGGAAGGGGTTGCTGAAGGGGCAAATTCAGGGACAGATGTGTGATCCTGCAGCCCGTTGCTGAGCGACGGGATGCTGCCCCGCAATGTTACCTCGGCAACGGGCAGCAGCTTTAACCCTGGAAAGGGAGGGGTGGAGGTCTGGAGGCAGAGGGAAAGGGGTTAGCTTGAGACTGGGGTCCATTGAGGGCATAAGAGGGAGGACAGCAGAGTGGGTCCGAAAACTAGAGTTTCCATAACCTCAGAGTCAAGGTAGAAGTATATATGTGGGGAAGACTGAGGACCTAGAGGACCCTAAAAGACCCACCTCTTGCCTTTCTTATTGGCCAATAATAGGGTTGCTATGGGTCTGAACCAACTCAACAGCACACAACAGCAATAGCCACATGAGGTATTTCTTTGAGATAAACTCTATCTATGTAAATACAGATATAGAAGCTTCACTGGTTTTATTATTTTTAGAGAACCCAGCCCTATGGAGAGAGTAAAGTAAAACATCTAATGTTTTTGCCACAGAGGCTAGAGGAATAATAGAAACACTGAGGGATCTTTAACCATTAGAAGGGAAAGATGACTTCAGGAGGAGATGGTAAGTTTCATTCACTCAAGGAAAGGTGCCTTGCAGCCAGGAGCCAGGAGCCAGCTGCCATACCAGAACCCAAGCCAGGACTAGAAAGATAACAGCATCACCCTTTCTCCTGAGAAAGTGGCTCTTAGGGTCCATTCTCTCCAAAAAGCCTCCCTGAATTGCTCAGGGTGGTTGGGCAGATCTTTCCTTTAATAGAGAATCCCTTTCATTATTGGAAGCAAGAGTACTGGGATCTGAAACTAAGCCTCATCAAAACTGTTAATCATTTTCCATGTGATCCTGGGGGAGAGGAGGAGCTGGGAATGATAAGATGGTAGAGCAGTGGCCTTGGTTCCAGAACACTCTTCCTAGCCAGCCTGTCTAGTTTCTCCCACCTCCTCCTCCACACACCTAGGTACTTCCTGTTAGCATGTGTATCATAGACGTCAATGATTCCTAGAGATCCAACCCCTCAAAAGTACTGTGTATCCACATAGATCACCCAAGACACCCAACAGCATACTTAAGTTTGTCTGGCATGAGAATTCACATCTCTCAAAGTGCTTCCAGAGTTTTGTTTCTGGCCGAGGCATAGAGGAACATTTGTGTTGTTTTTTCACACTATGAAAATGCACATGTCAGTAATAAAGCATGTGACGTGAGGGAACAGCAAGTGCAGGACCGTGAGTCACGTTATCAGAACAGGTTGTGAGTGAATAGAGTTCACGCTGCTTCTGCTTCCCCACTCGCAGACCTCCCGACCTCCCTAGGCCACCTCCTCTTCCGCCTCTTCCTCAAACTCGCCCTCCTCCTCGGCCGTGGTGTCCTGGTATTGCTGGTATTCGGACATCAGATAATTCATGTGTTGCTCTCGGCCTCGGTGAACTCCATCTCGTCCATGCCCTCGCCCGTGTACCAGTGCAGGGAGGCCTTGCGCGGGAACATGGCGGTGAACTGCTCTGAGATGCGTTTGAACAGCTCCTGGATGGCCGTGCTATTGCAGATGAAGGTGGCTGACATTTTCAGCCCCCGGGGCGGGATGTCGCAGACAGCGGTTTTCATGTTGTTGGGGATCCATTCGACAAAATAGCTGCTGTTCTTATTCTGCACGTTGAACATCTGCTCGTCCACCTCCTTCATGGACATGCGACCCTGGAAGACGGCGGCCACCTTCAGGTAGCGGCCATGGCGGGGATCTCAGGCCACCATCATGTTCTTGGCATCGAACAGCTGGGTGAGCTCGGGGACAGTCGGCCTGGTACTGCTGGCTGCCCCGGCTGGTCAGTGGGGCGAAGCCAGGCATGAAGAAGTGCAGACAGGGGAAGGGCACCATGTTTACAGCCAGTTTCCGCAGGTCAGCATTGAGCTGGCCTGGGAAGCGTAGGCAGGTGGTGACCCCACTCATAGTGGCTGACACCAAGTGGTTCAGGTCCCTGTAGATGGGTGTGGTCAGCTTGAGTGTACGGAAACAGATGCCGTAGATGGCCTCATTGTCAATGCAGTAGGTCTCATCTGTGTTCTCCACCAACTGGTGCACCTAGAGGGTGGCGTTGTAGGACTCCACCACGGTGTCCGACACCTTGGGCGAAGGCACCACACTGAACGCCATGATCCTGTCTGGGTACTCCTCTCAGATCTTGCTGAGGAGGAGGGTGCCCATCCCAGACCCAGGCCCCCCACCCAGGGGGTGGGTCAGCTGGAAGCCCTGCAGCCAGTCACAGCTCTCTGCCTCCTTGCGCACCAAGTCCAGCATGGAATCAACCAGGTCTGAGCCTTCAGTATAGTGCCCCTTGGCCCAGTTGTTTCCAGCACCGCTCTGACTGAAAACGAAGTTGTCGAGTTGGAAGATTTGCCCAAAAGGCCCTGAGCGCACCGAGTCCATGGTACCCGGCTCTAGGTCCACCAGGACCGCGCGGGGCACGTACTTGCCACCGGTGGCCTCGTTGTAATTAATACACATTGATCCGCTCCAGCGCAGTTCACTATCGCCATGATAGATGCCGGTGGGGTCAATGCCAAGCTCGTCGCTGATCACCTCCCAGAACTTGGCACCATCTGATTTCCGCATTGCGCGGCACGATTTCTCTCTTGGCGGCCACCATGGCAGCGTGGGCAGAAGGACGAAAACAAGAGCGGACAAGCGAACGCGCAGGCTGCTCTTTTTTCTTTTTTTTGCTGAGACATGCAGAGTTTTTATTGATCTTATTAAGTTGCTAATACTGAATATTTAGCTGGAGAACAGTCGGAAAAAAGAGTTGCAAGCGCGGTTATTAGTGGGTTTGGGTAGGTGGGCACAACATTGAGGACACAGTAGGCTGCTCAGCACAGAATGTCTAACTGTCTCAAAAAGCCACCTTGTGGTACAGTAGCCTTTGACCACTGCCATTTTATGCCGGTGTCTGCATCTGGGATTGTGGTTACACGTTGTTGTCAATCAAGTATCTCAAATCATTTGTTTAAAATTATTATTGAATGAGTGAATTCCATGGGGTAATTCATAGAATAAAGTCAAAGGTCGTTTATTGAACTACCCACCTTGATAACACTGTGTTTATTAAAAGGCTTTATCATTAAAACATCAAAGGTCTGTTACTGAGGCAGTAATGATATCTAAAGTTCACTAAGAACCAACAAAAAGATGAGAGCTAGGGTAAGTGGACAAACTGGGGATACCTTAGTCTTCTTGGTGGGCAGCTGTACTGCTTGTTTCCTGGTGCAACACCTGGAAGGGGCTCAACCTTCTGCAAACCTAGAACGCCAGACATCTTGTTTAGGTAGGCTGTGTCTACATCACAGCTTTCCGTTCTTCCAAGTAAAGATTGGTTCTCTACCAATCCAGCTCCAGCCCACCAAAGTCTCCTCTCTGGCATCTTCCTTCTTGGCCATATGGGACCACTGCCTATGACACATATGATCCTACGGTCCTCCTTGTCTAACTTTGTTGGCAATATCTGTTCTATCTTGAATTCACTTTCTACACTCCCCAATCTCTGTCACAGCCCTACTTAGCATCAATTTCACATTGTCACCTTCGTCCTATTGATAATTCCTTCTACTTTGCAATTCCTTTAGTAGTTCCTATATTGTTGTTGTTGTTGTTAAATGCCATTGAGTCCATTGTGACTCATAGAGACCTTGTATAGGATTTCCAAGGAGTGGCTGGTGGGTTTGGACCACCAATCTTGCAGGTCAAACTGACCTTGGTCCAGTGTTTATCTTAGGGTTTAGCACTAGAACTTGGTTCCTGTATTATTTTTTGTTTTATGTTATACAGTTTTAAAATTAATTTATTTACCTTATCTGTGCTTCTAAATGATATGATTTTTTTTCTAATTATTTGATTCATTTGAGCCAAAAACCCAAGTCCTGGTGTGGCACTGTGGGCCAATGCATCAGACTGCAAGGTCGGTGGTTCAAGTTCACCAGCTTCTCTTTGGAAACCCTATACAGTGTCGCTATGCCTCGGAATTGACTGGACGGCACTTAACAACAACAAGAAAACCCATAATGCTAACCTTTATTGAATGTGGTTCATATTGAAACACTTCTTTTGTGTTCTGCCCTCTGTGTACTGTCATGTTGTCTTTCTGCTGTTATCATTTTTCCTTCTCTTGTTCCTTCGCCCCATTACCTGATCTCTCTCAGCCTTAAATGGCTGCTCCTTGATGCTTTGTATCACAACAAAACCAAACTCCTCTACCTGACTTCCAAAGTCTTTCAAAACCGAAACCCACATTCTCTGCTCATTTTTGTTCCTTCCTGCTCTGAACAGAGTCCAAGAGGCCCGTCCACTCCTCTCAGGGGATGCTGCTGAGGAACAGACTGAGAACCACAGCAGTCTAGGAAGGAGCCTTGGTCTCACTCTGGGCTCTTTCCTACCTCAACAGCCAATGGCTTCTCTCTATGCCCGACAGCCAACCAGGACCCAGCTGTCCTGCCCCAGGATTCGGTTTCTGAGCCATCTCTCTTTCTCTGGCTGCCAGCCTATCCTCTGGACTTCCCAGCTAGTGTTGGCTGTCACTCTGCTACAATTTGCAAGTCTAGGCCTCTTCTCTACTGCAAGCCACACACTTCTGGATCTGGTTCCCTTCTACTTTAACTCCTCGCCCCCTACCTCTAAGCTCTGCCTATCACATCTCATGCCCAGACTCTCTTCTTCTCTATCTTTGCTACTCAAGTCCTCCATGCCTCAGTTCCTATGGCATCTCAGTCATTATCTAAGACCTCGTTCTGAATAGACCCCATTTCTGTGCATAGAATGCTCCAGAGAGTTTCCAAAGGCTGGTTTTCCAGAAGTGGGTCATCAGCCCTTTCTTCTCCAATCTTTCTATTGGTAGTCAAACATGTTAACTGTTAGCAATATCTATTTTCATAATGACCCACAAGGCCTACAAACTCAGAGACCCCATCATCCCCCTAGGACCTGACCTCCCACTGCCTTCCCCACCTCACACTATCCCTGGCCCACTGGCCTCCACACTGTTCATCTATCTACTTGTCAGGCTCACTCGTCTTTCCTACATGATCCACCAAACAATAACATGCTCGTGAAAAGGGGAACTCAAGTCAAGTACCAGAGTTTTGACTGGAAGCCATCAAGCATCTGTATATTTGGA